GTGAAATACGTTTCAAAATGGCCAAAACTACCAACATATAATATCTACTTTTAAACCGCTACATTTCGAAAACGGTGTGACTTAGATTTTTTTTACTTTGGTGCTTTTTTATTGTAAATTTGGTGTAATTGGACCAATTTTTGGAAAACTTGAGTTTTTTTTTAAATCAGAACTTTTTTGTCCATTATTTCTCAACCTTGACATTTAGTGCAGAAGATGACATTTTTTGTCCCCTAAAACATTTCAACAAATAAAAAAAATAAAAAAATCCGTTTTTGAGAAAAAATGTTTTCAAAATTTTATTAGAAATTAAAAAAAAAATTGGGTATTTTTTAGAGTGCATATTTTTTTTTCAAATAGTCTCATCCATTATCTGCAATATTGCCCAGTAACCAACCAGTAATTAAGTAAGTAATTAACAGTAGTTAACCGGTAATCAACCAAAAAATTTCAACAATGTTATTGTTTTGTTGACATCGTTTGACAGTCCACTTGACCGAAAAATGTCAATTTCGTGCGCGGTCTATGCTTCGAATTGTTAAGAAATGTCAAAGGGCATCTGGTACCACAAACACTGTTTATTTTCGAAAAAGCTTGCGTTACGAACAGTGGTGGCACGAATCCTGGAGTTTAACATTTTTTCCTTAACATTTGATACTTTTTGCGATAACCATTTTGACGACACACAAAAACAAACTGGCAAGCGGCAAAAATGTCATGACATTTCTAAACTGTTTTTTGCCAGCGACAGAACATTTTCGCACAAAAAAGCAGACAAGACCGGCGGCACGCGCGACATAAATTTATGTCGTGTAGAATTTTGCTGATTTCTGGCTAAATACTGCATTTATTTGATGTTTATTGCATGGAATTAAAAGATAAGAATGAAGACTAACCAGTCATAAGCATTGATGTTAAAATTATGCGTAAATAAGGGAGTTGGTAATTTACTGTCACACGCAAGCCTGCAGCTAAAATTTCATTACAATAAACTGTTTGGAAAAATCAAGCTGCGAGATTTTATTTATTCTCTATCTCCGCTGTTCGCTTGGAATGTAGTTATAAACGGCCGCCCGTGTGCTGGCTGTTTTGTTTCGCTCTGGACGATAGCTTTTCAAAAAATGTACTGTTGCCACCTCTGGTTACGAAAACCAGAATGCCGTTTTCGAACTCGTTCGAATCGAGTCGTTCGTACGAACGAACGATTCGTACGAAAACGGGAATAGAGGTGATGAGCTATATGCTATTAAATTATAGCTTAAAGCCATACTCAACCACAGTACAACGAGTTCGCTGCAGGAAAGTCCGAAACAACTCCGCTCCCGTAACAATAGCCTAAAAGCAAACACCAAGAGCTCATTTTCCCGCATACTCGACTTCGTATGCTTTTTCTGCTGGAGAGATTCGAGGCAAGTGTGTGCGTCGTTCTAAAATGTTCTACAATGTGCGTCGTTCTACAAGCTTACTGGTATCGTCAAAAGCGTAGATAGAACACGAAATAAAAAAGACAAAAAACCATTACATCGCCTGCATGGTCAATTTCTAACATTCGTTGCGATGTTCATGAACAGAGGATGATAGGAAACGGAACTAACATTCATTGTAATAGATTTTTGGTTTGCGTGTACGATGCTAGGATTTTTCTTCTCGTCTGTAGAGCCAACTGCGTCTATTACTTAGGAATATTGTTGTTTGATCCATATTTAATGTGGTGCTAGTCGCATATCTTGTCACAATTAAGATGTGATAGACATTGGTTGACGTAGCATGCAGTACAACCTAGGCTCAACTCGTTTTATAAAGTCTTATACCCTGACTAGACTCTAGACCTTTTTCAAATATTGACATTCGTTGATTAAACAGTGCTCCGCAATTGCAGAGTATATGTTCAGCTTTTTCGTTTTCAAAATGACAAAAACGAAAAACGCTAAACTGAATTTCTCCAATTTCATTTAAGTGATATTTAGTGGTACCGGTAAGCGTGATTACCCCTCAATCCCAGTCGGCGCCGCCGGGATGTTCTGAGGCATAACATCTCCGATTCGGAAGGGCCGTTAGTCCCCGTTTTATGAATTGATGGGTTGATATGTAGGGTCCAGGTGTGGGAGCTGCCTCCGTGGCGTTGGTAGCATTGGTGCTCAATACGGAAAACAAGATCGACGGAAAACAAAACCAAGGAAATTTTGTTGTAGTGGTCAGTGACCAGTCATTAGACCAGTTATTACCCGAAAATCTGCTTTCCTAAGATCAAGTAAGATCAGAGCTTTGGCAGCACTCGGTGTTATAAATCTTGTGGCTTGTCTGGATGTATCCGTGGCATTCCAATTATATTCTACCATAGACGTTTCCAAAGTTCTTAGTTCCATCATCAGAACTCCACAAAATGATTCTAGACCGAAGAAGCTCGATGCAGAAGCTTGTCTTGCTAGACTGTCGGCATTTTCATTTCCTTCAATGTCACAATGACCGGACACTCAGTATAATGTATCTTCGTTCCTTCGGTCAATTGTTTTAAAGAAAGAATGCATTCCTACACTACCTTTGATCGACATGTGCCTTAAGCGCATTAAGAGCTGAATGGCGATACTTTCAAAGTTTGGATGGGAGTAGGCTGTGGGCTTTGCCGTTTTTGAAAATTGGGAAAAAAATAAATTAATATTTTATGTGTGCTAATCTGTCTCGTAATTGGAGCACATTTTCCGCGATTCAAAATTCCAGTGATTAACTGTTTAAATTAAATGGCGTTGTTCGGTGTTATATTTATACTTGGGTGCTGATCCAGTCAACAACTATCCTAAATGATCCTGGATTTGATTGCCCGGTTCTAGGTCGCCACCAAAGCCGAAATTCAAGATGTTATTTTCACGTGCAGATCAATTCCTACACCCAACCGGGGGATGTAAGATTCGCTTACAATTATGTGGAATTCGTCATATGAGGATGTTAGTGGAGACCGCATTAACCGAGGATGCGATATACCTAGCTGCGGTCCAATGCAAGAAAATTGGAGACCGAAAAATGTGGAGTGTATTAGTGAGAGAAATTAGTTATGTCGAAAAAAATAGAAAACAGGTTGCGAGAACTGGACTCGAACCACGAACGTTGCGCGGTTATCAGACCTGTGCGTTCTCCATTGCTTCCTCCATGCTTCTGAATACAAGAAGCGCTCATTTCCTCCAGGCTTGATGGAGCCTCACTCGCGAAGTTGAAATGAGCCGAGCGTAGCATTTTTCTGAGGAGTAGAATGCCTATTGCCAAATCATTCCACTGAGCTTCAGAGCTTGTGAGTGAGGTTTGCTGCCATTCATGATCATGTTTTCAATCACACGCTCTTACTCTCACTCTGGGTGAAAACTGAGCTTCTTGCGTCGAACAAAAAAGTCATCCGGAGTCTCGAAAAGCGCCCCTCGCGTCAAATCATCCTCTTGCTGAAGTTCACTCTCCCTTTCTCTCGAGGAGTTTTTGTTTACTTCTTCCATATTCCAGCCGCCACTCACTCGACGTGAGGGCTGGCTAAACTCGCACGACGAGAGTGTTTTAAAACCTGCAGTAAGTTTGAGGAGTTTCAGCAAGCCTGATTTCCTCCCATACTCTACGTGTGTGCGTCGTTCTACAATGTTATAAAAAAAGCTTACTGGTGTAGTCGAAAGCGTAGATAGAACACGAAAAAAAAGGTCTGCAAGGTCAAGTTCTAACATTCGTTGCGATGTTCATGAACAGAGGATGATAGGAAACGGAACTAACATTCATTGTAATAGATTTTTGGTTTGCGTGTTCATAGGATTGTCCAATTAAATATTGTCAACAAATAGTGGTGGTGTAGTGGTGAGCGTGATTACCTCTCATCCCAGCATGCCTGGGTTCATTCCCAGTCAGCGCCGCTAGGATGTTCTGAGGCATAACAACTCTGATCGCGCCTTCTTTCTGAAGGAAAGTAAAGCCGTTGGTCCCCGGTTCATGAGTGGATGGGTTGATATGTAGGGTCCCAGGTGTGTGGGAGCTGCCTTCCTGGCGTCGGTGGCATTGGTACTCAGCACGGAAAACAAGATCGACGGAAAACAAATCAAGTAAAAAAAAATAATACATTTCTCGAACATAATAGAACACAAATACAGCTCCACCTAGCAGCATTTTCTATAAACTAGATATGCTAGATATTTGAACCAGAGTTGATAATAGAATAGTTAAGCACTGAGCAGTTATAACATGTTATAACGGTTGTCAAATAATTGCAGCACAGAAACCACCATCAACATAGCGCGATAACATGTTATAACTGATCCTACTATTACGCAGAGTAAAGCTTGCAACACTGGTGTCGATAAATAGGGTTTTTTTGTGTTGGCAACCTTTGTTTTTGTTTACACTTCGGATGACTTCACCTGGGATGTGAAAGTTTCCTCTAGGTTCGATAACAATACTTCCCACGCAACAGAGTCAGTTTGTCTACTATGGACGATAGGGGACTGTTCTATAAGTAAATTTTGGTTTCAGTCTGCGTAATGCCGTGGATACACTTGTATGACAAACTATGAACATAACCATGATGTTGTTGTTTTCTATTATCAATTCTGATTTGAACTATATACATACACAACCAAAACAGCACGGCAGCACACAGTTGTTTCGAGGTTAACATTAAAAATAAATGAAGAGAAATCGGCAATTGACGTGTTTGTTTCAAAAGCAATTACGCCCAAATCTCAAATCACTCCGGATTTGTCTTCGAAGCACATGCAGTAGGCCACGTTGGAGCAATGACAGTCCATTTTAAATAAACAAAATCCCAAAACTCGTAAAAAAAATTCCAAATCATCCCGTGTCATTTGAAGAAAAAATGGAAAGTCCTCAAAAACAGTCTTCAAAAGTCTCAATTTCTCTGGGAAAAGCCTTAGTTACGGATAGCGGATGGAATCGCAAAGAGGTATTCGGTGTGGCAGTTATATTTAAGACAGTCACGTGTTCTTCATAAACTTAATCCCATTTTTCGTGCTTCAAAGGTGAAAAAGCAACTCTTGGAGCGAGGTTATCTTATCGGCCAAGCCATCGGAGAAGGATCCTACTCGAAGGTTTACTACTCGGAGTTTCGTAAACCCGGTCATCAGTTCCCGGAACGAAGAGCCTGTAAAATCATCAACCGGAAGCAAAGTTCAATGGAGTATTCGCAGTTCCTTCCGAGAGAGATCAAAACGATGATAGCCCTGTCGCATCCCAATATTGTTTCGGTTTATGCGGTGTTTAAATTTGGTCCGTATGTTTGTATCTTCATGGATTACTGTCAGTGCGGAGATTTGCTGCAGAGAATCCAGACTCGAGGTAAGCTGTCCGAGGCAAAAGGTCGTCTGTTGTTCCGGCAGTTGGCCTCGGCCGTGTGCTACATGCACTCCAGGGGCTTTTGTCACCGGGACATAAAGTGCGAGAACGTCCTGCTCTCGAGTGCAACGCATGTCAAGCTGTCAGATTTCACATTTGCCAAGAAGTGTTCCTGCGAGAAAGCTTCCCAACAGCTCAGTGCGACTTTCTGCGGATCGGTAGCATATGCGGCACCCGAAATTCTCAAGGGAATCCGCTACGACCCGAAACGGTACGACATGTGGTCGCTGGGCTGTGTGCTGTTCATTATGGTAACCGGGACGATGCCATTCGATGAGAGCAACATTCCGGAAACGATTGAGCGACAGGAACGGAAGCTCTACTTCTACCCGGAAGGGGTGAAGCCGAATCCGACAATTATCGAACTGATTGACAGCCTGATCGAACCGGACGTAAACGTGAGAGCTAGCATCGAACAGGTCGTTGATTGTCCATGGCTGCAGGAGGTGGAGTAGTTGAAGGGCAAGGTGCTGTTGTTGATGGGTTTCATCCCGAGCGTTTGAGGCGGACATTTTCGATTGAGCTACGCGATGGATTATTTTTTATTATATCACAATAAAATCAAAATGTATTGAAAATGGTAGGATTTCATTCTTATCCGGAGGCTCAATATTCAAGTTTATAGGTTATACGGTCTTCAGAAAATAGGACAGGGATATTCTAACCAATGGTTCAATTGAAAGTGGGGACTTGGGTGATGTCTCCGGAATTCTTTGCTACTGTCATACTTTAAATGTGCTGTACCTAAACAAAATTGCAAACATTTCGCTTTATTCATCTAGTAGATACTTACGACAGATGTCACAATCAGCGCGAGGACGATGATGATTACAAACAGAGCGATGAAAATTCCTCGCCAGTTGCGTTGATTCGGATTTGCCGAAACCAGCTGGAAAAAATGGAGACAGAAAAAGAAAAGAAAAAGAATGTCAATCATTGTGCAAACATTCTGGTTTGGTTGTTTTGTCTTCTGACTGCGACAGTAAGTTGTCGAATAATTTGAAGCTTTTGTTTGCCTGTTGTCGTTTGAAAATGGTCTACATAAAAGTATAACTGTCCCATCTTTGCTTGATTTCCTATTCGTATGGAACAGTTAAGCTTTCATAGGTTGGGTATCGGGACGTTTTGAAGAAAAACATTGCACATCTATTGTATTCCTTATTTTACATAACACATTGTGAGGTTAATATTTTCGAAAACTAATTTCAAATGAAAAGTAAAAGTTGGGCTTCGTGTCAGAGTTTCCGATTTGTTCATGCTGTTATATTTGTTCATTATCAACAAACTTTATATCAAAGATTAATGCCCATTTCAAGTTTACAAACCTTTTTTTATCTCATTTCGGCGGGACGTCTTTTAACCCAAACTTCATCATTCAAAACAAATTGCTTGTAAGTCTAATCTGTCAACAGACTACCCGAACCCTCGTTTATTGAACCAATGTTATCGCATTAGGGGATCGCTCTCTCTCTCTTTCTCTCTCTATGTGCCTCTTCAATGCAGCAGCGGAGGAGGTGTTTTCCGCGAAAACAAGATGTGCTTTTGAATTCCATTACATCTGGCCATGTCACGAGCCAGATGATTTTTTTGGCTTTCCTTGACGCGGTGAGCGATGTCTCCGTTATTCTTTTTATGTCTTTATTCTCTTTGGATCGGAGAAAAGAGACATTTGGATGGAAAATTGAAACACACACGCTCAGTAGAGCCATTCAGTGATGAAGAACAGCGGAAAATAAAAGGTGACGCATTTCATCTTTTCAAAACATTTGCAAAACACGGAGCTTTGTTGGAAATTTTGGCGAGTTGTTTGTGATAAAAAAAAGTCCAACTAAACATCTATCAGTACGAGGATGAAAGCGAAGATGGTAGGTGGTTGGGTGGAGCACCCATTTCAGAAATTATTCAACATTTAATCCTTCTCACTGCACGATTTCTATAAATGCAACATTAATCATTTTTTTTGTTCTTATGTTAATAATTGTCATTATTCTTTTTTTCATACTGCCAATGCGTTATCAAAAGACTCGTTGATTGTTTGTTGTTTTGTTGTGTTGAAATATAGGGGAAATGGATGTAATGGGTGGGGTGAAAAGTAACCTCCTTAGGCATGTTTTTTTTTAAATGTTTTTATTTTATTTTATTCAATATAGTCCCTTTTTAGCTCGATATACTTATTCCAGCGATTTTCCAATTTCATGATTCCGTCCGAAAAGTAATTTCCAGAAGGTCTGCAAAATACTCCTCCGCAGCGTCGATAATTTCCTTATGCAAGCTGATTTTTTTTTATTGATTAGCCATCTTTTGAGGTTTGGGAAGAGATAATAGTCTGAGGAAGCCAAATCGGGCGAATACGGTGGGTGCAGAAGCAATTGGAGTCGTTAGTCGTTGATTTTAGCCGTGGTTGCGATGCTCTTGTGCGCCGGTGCATTATCTTGCAAAAACAAATTTTCGCTTCATGTGAGGCCGTTTTGCAGCGATTTCGGCCTTCAATCGCTCCAATAATGCACAGTAATACCATAGAGGTAACTCTAAGACCACTGGGTCCCGAAGAAAATCATTATTATTTTTGGCTCACTCAGTACCAGAACAACGGTCCCAAGCAGTCCCAAGCTATTTCACTCACCCCTGCATGTTCTGCATGAATCCACATACCCCTGATGTTATCTGTCAAACTTTCATAGTGAATCAAAACAAACATAGTGTAGTAATAGAATTTCAACTAGAATAGGGTACGTTAATCGTTTGCTTGGGACCAATAGGCTACTAAAGTGGTGAGCCAATTTAAAATCGTTAGTTTCGTATTGATTGTTGGTATAACCAACAATCAATACGAAACTAACGATTTTAAATTGGCTCACTACTTGACTAGCCTATTGGTCCCAAGCAAACGATTAACGTACCCCATTCTAGTCGAAATTCTAGTACTACTCAATGTTTGTTTTGATTCGCTATGAAAGTTTGGCAGATAAAATGAGGGGTTATTGGTTTTTCCTATGTTTCGAGAGGTGATTCGACAAGCTTGGGACCGAAGATAGTACCAGAGGTGAGCCAAAAAGTTGAGCACGTTTCTTCGGGACCTACTTGTCTTAGAGTTACCTCTATGGTAATACCAACCGGTGGAAACTAACGATTTTAAATTGGCTCACTACTTAACTAGCCTATTGGTCCCAAGAAAATCGATTAACGTACCCCATTCTAGTCGAGATTCTAGTACTACACTATGTTTGTTTTGATTTTTTATGAGAGTTTGACAGATAAAATGAGGGGTTCGTGGATTTTCCTATGTTTCGAGGGGTGCATTGATTAGCTTGGGACCGAAGATAGTACCAGAGCTGAGCCAAAAAGTTGAGCTCGTTTCTTCGGGACCTTCTAGTCTTAGAGTTACCTCTATGGTAATACCATAGAGGTAACTCTAAGACCACTGGGTCCCGAAGAAAATCATTATTATTTTTGGCTCACTCAGTACCAGAACAACGGTCCTAAGCAGTCCCAAGCTATTTCACTTACCCCTGCATGTTCTGCATGAATCCACACACCCCTGATGTTATCTGTCAAACTTTCATAGCGAATCAAAACAAACATAGTGTAGTAATAGAATTTCAACTAGAATAGGGTACGTTAATCGTTTGCTTGGGACCAATAGGCTACTAAAGTGGTGAGCCAATTTAAAATCGTTAGTTTCGTATTGATTGTTGGTAATACTCGTTGTTGATGGTTTTTCCTTTTTCGAGCTAGTCCACGAAGAGTATGCCATGACAATCCCAGAAAACCGACGCCATAACCTTTCCGACCCATCGAGCCTCCCTCGGCTGCTTCGGAGCACTCGTGGCGGCTTCAGTCCATTGTCGGGCGCTCATTTTGTTCTCTGAAAAAATAAACTAGTATTGAGCCATTGGTTCGTAGCTGTGCTTCCATCTATTAACGTCCTTTTAAACAATCCACCTTGAAAAGGTGGATATAGTTCATTCAGGACGGCCAAGTCGTAACCAGACCGAGCCGGTTAGCATCCCCAGGTAGCGATAATCTTGGGCTACTTCGAGAGTTGGCAATAACCTTATTGCTCTGTCATCGTCATCACGGGCACTACCGATAATTGACAGAAGTGCTTTGGTGACAACGATGATCCCCCGTTCTTGTTCGCATTACTGACGGCAAATATCACCGCCAGCAATCCCACCGGGCACCGCGTGGAGGTAAGAATCGGAGTTCAGGTGCACAGAGGTCGCAAATCGCCGGTCAGGGCAGAACCCAACAACCATTGATAGGCGTTCTTATGCACCTGCTTTACCCGGCTTCGTAGCTGTGGTTCCTCTCGTACTGCACAGCAATTCCGTTAAGATAGCACAGTCGATCCAGGTTTCATCAACAGTTACCAATCGACGCCAAAAGTCCGCCCGATTCCGCACCAGCAAGTCCAAACACTCTTTCGAAGTGTTCTCGTGTTTGTGTTTTTGGTCAGTAGTGACCTTGCGCGGCACCCAGCGGCAGGATAACTTTTTCATATGCAGAATCTCACCCAAAATATGGCGTGTGCGCTCAGTACTAATCTTTGCGGCATCTACTAGCTCGCGCACCTTCACTTTCCGGTCAGCCAACACCATTTCATGTATTTTGTTGACATTGTCCTCTGTAACCGCATTGGAGGGCCTGCCGCTGCGGACTTAGTCGGTAGTGGAGTTGCAGGCAAGCACGAAACTCTCGAAACCAATATTTGACGGTGTAATCTGGCGGAGAATTAGCCCCATAATATTTATCCAACTTTCCTTTTGTTTCCTTCGCCGATTTGCCTCTAAAAATAATATTTTATGAGAGAACGAAAATCGTTTTTATCCATACAACATGATGGTAAACACGTTAACAAGTTGTTGTAAGTTGTCAGAACAAAACTAAGGACAGTATCGCACTGAAATTTGGCATGTTTAGCTAAATATGAACGAACTACAAGGCACTTTAACCTTTTTTGCAGAAGCAGCGTATTCTGGCGGTCAAGGAGGTTACTACCTAGTACATAAATCCAGCAATCGACTAAATTTTCAATAGCGACCAAAAATATCCATTAGTACCGTCCCAATGGCGCGTTCATATAGATAAAATTGATAAATATCAGATTTTTAGCGATGGGCCCAATCCATAGTAGACTGGCCCTCAAAAATAAAAGTTCTAATTTTTCACCAACCATATGTCGTTTTCGTTTTTGCGGTGTAGCACTGGTGTAGTGTAAGCAGGAATAAGCGCAAGTCTTTGACAGCTCACCATCATTTATTTGTAAACAAAGGTGCATCCTATATCTACACCCTAAAATATTTCGGTGTACGGCAGTGTAGCACCGGTGTAGCTACACCGCAAAAACGAAAACGACAATAGATTTGTGTCATTAGGTGAGAAAACCACTCTCTGAAAATTCAAACTCATTCGGATGTCTTGCATGTCGCGAGCTGGCGCTTTTAGTTTGAATTTTGTATGGGGAATTTGGATAAAATACATGAAAAATGACTTTTCAGATCAATAAATCGTCATCTGTCCGAATGTCTAGTTGCATTTTTTTTTATTAAGTATTCTTGGATTTTCATAATAATTAAAACTTTTCTTTTTGGGCTGGTTGTTATAAGTATATTGAAAACTGCGAAAATCTAAAAATAATTTGATCAGTGGCGTCGCGTCCACATGTGCAACCAGTGCACGACACAGGTGTAAATGCGTTTAGATTTTTACAGATTTTATGGCCACATTATAGCTGTACTTCTTTACTCCAGACTACAAGTGACCATGAATACACTATTTTATAGTGCTCAATTGAATCTTCGACTTTGGTTTGCTTCAAAAAGGATTAAATTCAGTTCGGATGGTCTGCCCAATCCCTAATGCATTGATTTCTAAGCATGTCGATAT